CTACCCAACGGCCATCCCTCGGTTTACTTGTTCAAGCTGTCTTTGTCGGAAGAGAAATATCTAGAAGAAGCCGACAAGATGGATATTCTCTTCCAGCATCCTAGCGTTGAGGGTGTTTACGAAGGAAACATCCCGCTGAGCACTCGAGCGGTGCTCAAGCTAGGAAGCCATTGTACATTCGATGAGGAGCAACGCGGTGTCCTAGGTGACGGCTTGGACAAGGGCTTCGACCTTTCAACATTACTTCACACATCTTCTGAGCAGCCCTATCTGATGGACTCGTCACTGGTGTTCCACTATTTATATCACATTGTCTCTGGAGACAGACAAATCTTCGCAATATTCTCGACAGCCGAGAGTGAGGCGCACATCATCGTTCTCAACCGCACAAGAGATGTCCAGGGTCTTCCCAACGTCGATAAAATCTACACCGAGCTTCTCACACGCAAGATGCAAGCCGCATCGGGTGATGAGTCGCAGCATGCGTTCGAATACCAGGACAAGATTCATTTCAAAACTACCCAGGTGATGACGCGAAGGAAGGCTCACCTTGAGGTTGGTGATCTGATCAGAAAGATTCGAAATGATGAGAGTCAGCCTGCCGTGCTTGTCATTCAATCCCAACAAAAAGACCGCCTGTGTCATGACATTCCGATCTTGAAGGAGTATCCAATCCTGTCCGTGAAGCCCGAAGCATCGGATATGGAACTTCCCCCACTAGGCTGGCAGGCATTCGTTGCAAGACGTCTAGTCACGCGCTATCTATACCTGTCTTCTTGGATTCAACATTTGACTATGCTTGCTCGGTTCGGCGATGTTCCGCTTTGCAACCTGGAAAGTGAGGATCCTCGATACCTCATCGATATCTCGTACGCCAGACGGCTTCAACAAAATAATGTTGTGCTCTGGTGGTCTTCCGGGCCGCGTCCTGATCACGCGGGCTACGAAAGGGATGACATCCTAGGTGCCTTGGACAAGGTCAACATGCCATCTGTCAATGTGCCAGGTGCTTACTCCACAGTGTGCATTGAACTTGAGGTTCGCAACCTGTCGATCAACACAATTCTGACATCTTCTATCATCAACGAAATGGAAGGCAATGATACGCTACTGGCTTCTGGGGACGGTGAAGATACTGGTGTTTTCTATTCAGAGAAAGCGTTTGCCTCTGCCGGTGTTGTCGTTCTCCGAGAGATGGTCAAACACTGGTGGACAGAGGCCTGTGGAGGGAACAACATGGCCGATATTATGGTGCAGCATCTGATCCGATGGGTGGAAAGCCCCGTGTCCTGTTTGTATGATCGGTCTCTGCACAACTACGTGCGATTACTGTCACGGAAGTCATTCCAGAGATTGATGGCAGAGTTCAGACGTGTGGGCTCGCATGTCATCTTTGCCAGCCCTACACGCCTCCTCCTCCAAACGACCAAGACCGAGGTTGGCAACGCCTACGCCTACAGTCAGTATGTCCTCAAGTCAATTCGCGCCAACCCTTCATTCCACTTCATCGATCTAGAGATCAAGGAGTACTGGGACTATCTCGTTTGGTATGATGAATACAACTACGGAGGCAAGGGCTGTCGAGAGGTCACCGAGGCCGACGAACAGGATCTCGAAACAGCGATGCACTGGCAGCTCAGCCGGTTCCTGCCAATGCCCATGCAGACTATCTTCCATGATTGGATTGTCGAGTACATCGAGCTGATGCATGGCTTGAAACGGCCGGAACTCCAAGATGGGGATCTGTCTTCAACGCCTCGGCCAACACAGATTCCCATCGGACGGACCAACGAGGAAGACGATGACGAGGTCACTGCTATTCTCTCGGACCGATTCTCGAAGCCATTGAAGAAGCAAATCTCGGGATTGATCCGCAGACAACGCGATGAGATGCTTCATCCTGAGCTTGCATCTGACTATGCCTTCCCCGTTTTGCCAGGGGTACTAGTCGGTCCCAAGGACAAACGCAACCCATCTTTGGAGTTGACTAAACTACTGATGCAGGTTTTGAGTTTGTCCAAGACAACAACCCTGGAATCCCGGTTGCTGCGGCGCGAGCTTCTTGCCCTTTTCGAGGTCCGAGAATTCAGCAAGGAGGGCCGATTCGAGAACCCTAGTGCTAGCTTGCAGCTCCCGGAAATGTCCTGCAACTCCTGCTGTCTTATTCGAGATCTGGATCTCTGTCGTGATGAGGATGTGCTGCCTGATCCCAGCTTAGAAGCCAGCAAATCTACCCAACCCTGGCGATGCCCCTTCTGTCATGCCGAGTACGACCGATTGGCAACCGAGGAATTCCTCATTGGCCAAGTCCATGGCTTTATTGTTGAATGGCAGACACAGGATATCAAGTGCTCGAAGTGCAGTGGTCTTAAGATCAGTGATTTCATGGAACACTGTTCTTGCAGTGGTACATGGACCGAGACTGTTGATCGGAAGGAGATCGAGAAGAAACTACAAGTGTTGGAGAGCGTGGCCAAATTCCACAAGCTACAACTTTTGGAGCACGTTGTCGGGAAAGTGCTGGAGCGATTTTGAATGTACAATTTTTTTTTATTTTTTTTTTATTTTCCCCCTGTTTTTTCTTTGTTTTGCATTGGGTTGGCGTTGAGTCGGAATATGTACATAGCTTAAATAGCCAACTGGGCAGAGAATGCCTCTCCAATAATCGCGCTGTCGATATTTTTTTATATCTTGGCCTTTAATTCCTCTTCATATTTTCTTTCAAGATCCTATTTTGACTGCCAGCGCTCTTGGAGTTGAGCTGTTCAATTGTTTCATCTGCCGTTTCAGCCCTTTGCAACAGCCCCGCCAACGATTCCCCAGGATCTTCGACTTCGAACCCCCACAGTCCCTCGAACATCAGACCGTTGGAGATCCAACAAATCCATACACGCGTAATCGGCCCTTGTCGGCCAACTGTAAGTATTCCCCGCGTCGTCTCACCTTGTGTCTTCGCGCTGGACTTCTGTACGACTTTACGGCAAGGCTGACTTTGGATTGCGCAGGTACATAAACAGCAGGCGTATATATATCACACCCTCAAGTCGAACCCCTCTAGCACAGCGCTCAATCCTTCGCTCGTGCTTCGCGTTGCACAACTTTCCTATCCCCCCCCACAATCCGCGTCGCGCATCCCGCACTTAGTTTTATTCGCAATGGCGGCACAACCCCCGAGCGGCCAGAAGCCGAAGGTCCAGCCGTGCCGATACAAGACCGGAAAGACACTGGGCGCTGGTTCGTACTCTGTTGTGAAGGAATGTGTACACATCGATACCGGTCGCTATTATGCGGCAAAGGTCATCAACAAGCGTCTCATGTCCGGGCGGGAGCATATGGTGTGTGCCGGGAGAACTACAACGAGACAAGAGTATGGCTGACGTCCGGAATATACAGGTCCGGAATGAGATCGCGGTATTGAAGAAGGTGTCTCTGGGCCACCAGAACATCCTCACGCTGGTCGACTACTTTGAGACCATGAACAACTGTGTGTTTTGGCCCTCCATGATAGCTCCAATCGCACCCTCACTAACGAGTGATGTTGTCTAGTATATCTTGTCACTGATCTCGCGCTGGGCGGGGAACTCTTTGACCGCATCTGTCGCAAAGGCAGCTACTATGAATCGGACGCTGCAGACCTTATGCGCGCAGTGCTTTCTGCCGTGGCCTATCTCCATGACCATGGGATCGTGCACCGTGATCTGAAGCCGGAGAACCTGCTTTTCCGCACGCCAGAAGACAACGCCGATCTGTTGATTGCCGATTTCGGATTATCGAGGATCATGGACGAGGAGCAGTTCCACGTCCTGACCACAACCTGCGGAACGCCAGGATACATGGCACCGGAGATCTTCAAAAAGAGCGGCCATGGCAAGCCAGTGTAAGTCATCTCTCATTGCGATTTGCGATTGCTTATCTTTTACTAACCACCATCCCCATCTAGCGACATCTGGGCCATTGGCGTGATCACCTACTTCCTGCTATGCGGATACACGCCCTTCGACCGGGACTCCAATCTCGAAGAAATGCAAGCAATCCTAGCAGCAGACTACTCCTTCACGCCGGCTGAGTACTGGCGTGGCGTATCACAGGAAGCGCGCAACTTCATCAATAGCTGTCTGACAGTCAACCCGCAGTCACGGATGACAGCCCACGAAGCTCTCCAGCACCCATGGGTCAACCTACCCTACGACAGCGGCAAGATGGGCTCGGGCGAAGATCTGCTGCCTACGGTCAAGAAGAACTTCAATGCGCGCCGCACGCTGCACCGTGCTATCGACACCGTGCGGGCTATCAACAAGCTCCGCGAGGGCGGCGGCTTCATGATGGATGGCGTTCTGAGCGTTGATCCTAAGCCTGAGCGTGTTAATGGTGATGAGATTATCGAGGAGAAGTCTAATGCTCCTCCGCCTGCGCCAGCTAATGCTGGTGGGAGTCAGATGCAGATTGATAGTCGTGGTAATGCGCGTGGGCAGACTGAGGAGCAGATCCGGGCCCAGGAGCGGAGAGTTAAGGAAATGGTTGCTGGTTTGTGGAGTCGTACTCCTCGTTAGGATGCATGAAGGTGTGTCCTTTGCTTTTGTCAATTCCGTGTTTCGAGTTCCTCCGTGGGGAGGTTCAAATTTCGGGGTTGGGAGTATCAGTGGCTGCTCTTCGCTAGTCTCGGACTTTTTCTTTACTTAGCTTCTTCTCAATGTCTCTGCATACCACACCATTATCAAATACAATAAATGATGCCAGTGTTTATAATCAATAATTCTCGGATGAGTCCCGATTTAAAATCCTTGTTCGCTATCTTAATAGAGCTGAAGATGCCTACCAAATTCTCATCATGACCGTGGATGTCCTGGCCGTTGCCATCCCTCATTAATACCCATGCCGAAAAGTTGTTAACAGAAAAGCAACGAAAGAAGCAATATCATCATGGTCATCATAATCATCAGTCCCACTTGAACTCGCGAGATGTGGGACGAAAAACAAAGCGATCTAAAAGTAAATGCCAATCAATCTGCACCTGCCAGTATCTCCTCCCCATCATCTAAAGAGAGAACCCACTCTCGCCATTCTTGCCACTCCGCATAACTAGCGCTTGCCTTGAGGCCCTGATATCTGACAGTACGGAAATCAGAGACCTGGTCCCAAGGCTTAGTGACGCTAGAGTTCCCACCAGCTGCACCGCGCAGCAGTCTCCGTGCAGTACTGCCACCACCACCATCCCAGCCTGCCTTGCGCATCAAGCTCTCCACAGTCTCTTCTTTGGTCCAGCCCTGCTCGACAGCGACATCAGGGAGGTATGTGGCGCCATAGCGACGGCCGCGGTAGATGAAGGAGATCCGCAGGCCGTGGGTATCCAGAGACCAGTCCATGGCATTTGTACATGGCTCGAAGGACCCAAGGAGGGTGAGAGAGCATGATAGCGAGGGGAGGAGGGATTTGGGAATTGGTGCAAAACGGGTGTCATCGAAGGCCCTAAAAAAAACGTGTGAGTTAGTCTGATCTATAGATAGGAATGTACCGTTGTTTGTATTGCGAGAGAGGGGTATTCAATGGGAACCACGTACGAGGTCAAAGCGTAGGACTTCAACCCCGCTGCTAGTTCCTGCCCCTCGAATGTGCCTATGCACCCGCGTAGAGACTTGTGTCCGCTTCGTGACACAGTATTCCATGTTACGAACAGGGGATATCGCTGATCAGGTGATCTTGGCTGGGAGATCTCGGAAGCGGCACTCGGCGTGGTGATATTGGTTGAGCTCGACTGTAGCGAGTTGGCAGAAGGTGTGGATGCGGATGATGAAGGTGTGGCTGCACTGGAAGAGGCGGAAAATTGGCTCTGAAGACGACTGACGCTGCGGAGTTGCAGCTGCTTGGGTTGATTACTCGACTGGGGCGATTGGTTGCTATCGTCATATTCGTCCTGCTCATTTACGGACTGTCGGGCTGCATATTCTTCTTCTTCATCTTCAGTTTGCTCTTTAAGACTTGACAACTTCTTAGTTTGCTCGTGCTGTTCCCATAGGGCCTCTACGGCTGCCAGAGTGGTGGGCTCGCGGTTCTCGAATGATGCTAGGAGAGACTCAAAGCAATAGTAGCATTGAGCGGTATTCGCCATGTTGGGAGGCGTTCTGCTCTTGGGTCACCAGTGAGTTCTTAAAGATGCACTGCACTGCTTCAGATTCAAACACAAGTGTAAGTATGTGGTCTCCGCACGAGTCCGGGGCGATAAGACACTGCCTTATCGCTAGGGCCTGGAACTCCAGCCAAATTTGGAGATAAGAGAGTACAAAGCTGTGCAGTAACGAGAATTAAAGGGCATATAAAAAAGAAAAGTAAACAAATCAGGGATACAGAGAGAAGAACCAGGGTAGAGGTATCCGTTCACGTGGACCGGGTCTACACTTTACCGCCAGTGCGCCTCAGATTCTGCCTGTATAATTAGCCTTAGTAAGAATCCTGTGTGGCTCCGCCAAGAATACTCTTAGCGCTCTATATGTACTACGTATTACTACTACATCACTGCTAATTTGTACACTCTTAGGGGGATGTGCCAATTAAGATCAGGCATCCCTAATTAGGATTCCAATTGATCTAATAGATCTGATAGATCTATAAATTGTTCCCAGCTCTCCTCGATAAATATTGACTGTCGGGCCTCGTTTGAATCGATACTCCAAAGCGCGATTGGCATATGGATTGATAGTGCTAGCGGCTCTTAGAAGACATTTTCCTCGCCCGCACTCTATTGTCTCTTCTGTCTGTCTATCCCAAACTGCTGAGACGTTGTCAGGGTTAGTCTGTGGAGGATGACTCCAGTAGGCCAATGTGTGAGGCCGTCAAACGGGAAAGATACGTCCCACGGGAAAGGCAAGGTTATACGGGGAGAAGCCGGTGAGGAAAATCTGTGTTGTATTGACGATCCAGCCCCTACTAGCGGCCAAGTTGAAAAACGCCATTGACCAACAAATATGCGTTATAGGTACCGTAAAAATTGGTATCACAAGAGCCTAGACTCTCTTCGTTTGCTGATAGGTATGGGCTATAACTGCAATCAATCAGGTTACACTTACTATCTCTCTTCGCTTTAATACTCCCTCTCCCCGATAAGTTTAGTCTCGGCATTTCTAAGCAGGAAGATACCTCAATGAGTACGGCAGGGTTTGGAGTCTATCGCGCCAACCGCCATATAATTCAGGCACCGTTTTTGCCTTGCTCTTATTTAATTGATTTATATAATTAGAATGGGTGAAAAAAGACCGTTAAAATGATTACCAAATACGTGATTTTCTCTAGATCTGACCTGCATTTTCGTCAAAGCTTATAGTCATAATAGTCATCGCTTAACTAGAGTACCAATTCTAGTAAACAGTCTCTTGGCTACCCCGTAACCCCCCGTATATCCCCCGCCTCGGTCCATCTTTAATTAAAGACATGTGCGGGTAATATCATTTGAGTCCGGGGTGGCCATAAAAAACTCAACTTGGCGTGGTCCTAGGTCCACACTAAACCATCTTTGTGCAAGCTCTATGACCCTTGTTCGATGATTGAATCTCATTCGTTCAGATTATTGCAGGACCAACAAGAACAGGGTTTACACTAGTCGAAATACCAGAGTGAATCGAGCCGACTATACGGTGTACTTTTGGAAGAGAAATGAGAGATAACTCTTATGTGACCAATAATGGGGAATGAATGTTCTCATGACCGGTATATTCCGCTAGCCTAAGCTAGAAGCTAGAACCTGGGAACAGAATCATATAAGACTAGTCTCTCGTGCATTCAGACTTTGTTGTTTTGGTCGCGTTAACTGTCCTCCACGCCATACTCCAGATCCCAGGCTATTCATCTATTCGGTTCTACCACACCTTAGTCAAAATGCGTCTCACTACTGCTATTGTTGTGCTCTTCGCCGGTGCCATCGCTAGAGCTCAACTATCAAATATCCCACAATGCTCTGTATGTCCTGTCCGCTCAATATCTCTGCTGTCTCGTTTCTAACTCTTTCTCTTCCAGCTTACCTGTTTTACTACGACCCTTGCCGGAGACGGCTGCTCTGAACTTACGGATTTCGCGTGCCATTGCCAAAAGCCTGGTCTCGCAGCGGAGATTGTGCCCTGCATCAATAAAGCTTGTGATGTCACGGACCGAAAAGGTATGAAAAGTCGCATTCCCTTTCGTATAAACCGGTCTAACTCTAGGCCCTATAGCTGTATCCAGTCTCGTTGAATCCTTGTGTTCCGGTGTTGGGCATCCGATCTCTATCCCCGCGGTGGACACATCAGCTCCCACAACGACTGCCGCAGGAAGTATCCCAACCCCAGCGACGAGCTCCAATTCTACCACAGTCAGTGGTATCGGGTCAAGTTCCAATTCTACCACGGTCGGTGGTTTCAAGTCAATCTCCAGCGCAAGCTCAAGCTCCCAAACTTCGACCACGATCAACGCGGTCCCGGCTCAGAGCACCTCACAGTTCAACGGTGCCTCTAGTATGGGACCCGGAGCTGTTCAGATGGTTGGTAGTGCTATGATGTTAGCCATCATGACCTTGTTTGTTTGAAGAGTTGTGTGGAGAGACAACATAATGGTTTTTTGACTGCTATACTTAATTTGGCGCTGGTACCTCCTTCTATGTTCACTGCCTCTACTAAGCTATCTCAAGCTACACTTAATTAAATACCTTTTCTATTCTAGAATAAAGCGTTCAAACATCGAATGGTGGAAGTTTGAATTCCAAGCCGTATTTCCTCACTAGATATATTCATAGTCTCAAGTGACTATATACAAAATACCAAATAGGTACTGTCACAAATATCAATACACCATACAATCATCCCACTATGCCAGCCTCCTACAGCCGGGTGTGCCGGAAATTAGATGTAACGTCGGCAACAGTGAACTAGAAAATTTTGAAAAAAAGGAAGCTAAGGGGAATTAAGTCCTTCGTCCGAAGCCATTAGATTAGTGTCGTCTGTGGGGACGCCACTGATGGCATTTAACTTCATTGCGATTCTGTCCCTGATGTTGATTTCCACGAGAGCGGCCTGATTCTGATGATAGCGGTAAAGCACGCTCCTTGTCCATAGCGGTGGTCGATCATGGTCCTAGTCATTTCCCCGAGAGGGCCAAGGCTAGATGGGACGAAAAATCAACTCCAACAGATAGTCGAAATAAGATCGACCGACCGGATGTGGGAGTAAGTTACGAACGCCTCAATTGGCCCGCAAGCCCTAATTAATTAGACTTTCTAGCATATGCTAAACCCCCAGGGGATACTCTTAAGTCTGAGGGTCTGGCCCACTGGGAACTTTGGCCTCGGAATTGAATTTAGCACATGTGAAAATATTTGGATGTTTGACCCCAGCTCGTTCGGCGAGACATTAATGTGGCAAAGTACGCTAGACGACGCCAACACCAACAAAGCCAAGCTTGACGCTAGAGAGACGAAGACACGGGAGAGCTTGGAGAATATTTTTTGGAACAGTACACTGAAAGTGATCCTTGTTGTTTTCTTGTAATTTTTAGTATGTCCAGTACCATAAATTAAATTCTTCTCCGAACGCGCCTGCGCGCATCTTCAAAGTGTGGCATTGACCTTAAGGCTTGAGAACAAAACACGCATAAATATTACAGTATTAGAGAAATCAAAATCCCGCGCACATACCCAGCTCTGCTAGAAGGTCCCCTGCCGTGACGTCGATACCACCGGCGTGTGAATCCTCCCTGCCAAAAGCTAAGAACAGTGTATCATCAATGAATCCATGGTACTTTTGGCTATGGTTTTTCCAACTGATGCTAGTCATGTAGAGCATCTCGGAGGTATCTTCCAGTAATCCCGAAGGATCTTCATCTGATTTCTCTGCTCGAATGCTGCGACCAAAGATCCAGATTGGTTTGGACGAAACCGCATAGATCTCAAATGGCATCGAACGCCGCATCAGCACCACATAGGGCTCATATACGGGGTGAAGACCGTGTACGGTCTTTTGTTGGATGATGAAGAGCACAAAGGTATTGGTCGCATCAGGTTGGCAAGATTGGTCAGATCGTGCACATAGAGTGATAGCTAGCGAGTTTGTCGCTTGATGAATTTTTCCCGTCTCGGGCAAGAATCTCTTGAGACATTCTTGGTCAGAAAGATAGTTCGTCAGCGCCAGGTTTGGTCCAACAGAACCATCTAGCTCGAGTTTCGAAAATACACGCGCTGGTGTAATTTCATGGTGGAGGAACATTTGTCCCAAATCGTCCCAGAAGATAAACCAATTCTTCTCAACGGCATTCCATGGCATTGGACGTTGAAGTTCACGATACTGTCGGAATTCGTGCTGATTGATGGTGTCTACTCCCCAATCCATCAAGATTCGAAAGTCGGATATCCATTGTCCGAAGCATGTAAATAACGAATTGGAGCCGTAAATGGTGTACGGAATCTCGGGCCCGTAGAACACCCTTGCATCATGAGGTCCAACGCTGAGACTAAAGAACGAAAGATCGCCGAGACACTTGTTGGCGTCACTAAAGGTCGCTGGGATGGGCAATAGCAGTGGTGGCTCCAGACAGCTCAAGACTCGCTTGTCGTCCGAAAATGCGGCGTTGCAGACAAGTTCAGCGAACCAGACTGAGGCATCTCGAACAGCAGTAGGCTTGTAAAGCTGTGCAGTGATGATCCAGGTGTCAAGCAGCTCGGGATGGGGGATTATACTGGGATTCAAGACGGATCTTTTTCCGAAGTCGATCCGAAAGTACCTTCGATCGGGATTTGATACCGAGTATATTATGTGGTGTGTCTGAGACATGTCTTTGTTGAATTCGGTATATCTTTGGTCTTCCGTAACTTGTCCATCCTGGCAGTGGGACAAACTGCCATGAACTGAACAAGCTATGTCGGATTGTTCGGCATCAATGTGTGATTGCCTATATGGACCTGAGGAATAGTCCGTAAACAGAAATCCCGATTGCAAGCTGAGGTTGGATTTAAATTTGGCGACGAGGATAAACGCGGACAATAGCCCTGCAATAAGTATCAGGTGTGCTTTATTTTTGGCCATGTTCAGTTTGGCGAGTGTAGACGGGATGTAACAGTAAAAGGTTATAAGTCTTATTTCAGAGGAAGCCTTGCCAAGATTAGACTGACTAAAAAGGGGGCTTTGAGTGACACGGGCAGTGATTGAATATGGCGATTAGTGCGATCACCCACAACTCTTAACAATATTTACCATGGTCACGAGACATGGCTTAATGACCATCTCTTTGCAAAACTATAGGAAAACTGCTTCCAACAGAGAATTTTCAATATTGCAAATAGTACTGCCAAATCTAAGGTGAATCTCGCGAATGTCATTACAACAATTTTAGGATCTACATAGTAGTATCCTGAGCTTCGGGCTCTGGGCTAGCAGTAACTTTCGTTCGTGGTTGCAAGACTCTTATTATACAGCAATTTATCATTTGGAAGAACATTTTGCATTATATACTCAAAAATAAACCAGGAAGATCATGGACACATGCGGAGGGTTGTCAGGATTTGTCAATCAGTGCCCTTTTTGTAGATCCACTGAGAAAACTTTACCGCTGGCTCATCAACCAGTCTAGTCGCGACCTCTGCAAGCCAGATAGTCAAGGGTAACAATATCAGATTCGCGGCGAGAAAGTTGACTTCAAGCCCAAGAGGACCAACGTTAGGCAAGGGGAGGCGATTAATCCACCAGGGACAATTCTCATGGTGTGAATCGCGTACGAAACCCACTGCAGCATAGAGCCTGTCACCCAAAGTCCACAGAACCGGTCCGTGAACGAGATAGAATGCAAACGAAATACGGCCCAAGTACAGGTTGAATGGGGCAGTGAAGAATGTCTTCAGCCACTGAAGGTGAGACGTGCATGCGACGAGAAAGACAGCGGCCCAGAACAGGTAGAACCACTTGTAATCGAACACTGCCTGTGGCTTTAGAAAGGATAAGAGGTACCACCCTGATGAGTCACGCAATTGTTGCAAATTGTCCGTACGTGAGGGGACCCCTCCAAGATAAAGGCTTGCATAGAAGAGAACAGTCATGATGACTGTCTTGAAGGGACTCAGTCTGAGAAAGAAGCGGGGCAAGTCATTTCGTATGGCGAGGAGGTCGAGATCTTTTAGAAGCATGCCGGCAATAAACATAGCATAGTGTGCTCCATCCGCAATGTACAAAAAGTACACAACCAATGCGACTTCGCCTAGGAGCCGGGCATTCCGGCGAAATCTTGAAAGGGCAAGAACGGCGGTGTAGACAGCCAGGGAGCCTCGGTGTTCGACGGGTATAGACCAAGCATGGAAATTGTATGTGAACCAAGGCTCGCCGCCTGTTCGGAGAGGGAAACTGAAATTCTTGAACTCGGCGTACCAATTCCATAGCTCCGAGCGGTAGCTTCCTTGAAGCTCTGGAATAGCGGTGATCTTAAACAAGTGCAAAAATGTCATGTAACATAATGTTGTGCAAATGACAGGAATATATAGACGAAACCATCGGCGAAATATGGCCGAGGAAACGCATTTACTTAGTCCAATGTAATCGCCATCCTGGATGTTTACCAGTGGCCTCATTGAAAGAACGTACCCAGAGAGCACGAAAAAGACGCTGACGGCAAAATGGCCCCCCGAAAACAAGGTTCGAATACCAGGAAGGCATGCGAAATAGTACTTGTTATCGTAACCATAGGCCAGCTCGAAGGCATATCCCCCCCCTCCGCCATCGTGGGCCCAAAGTTCATGATGTCCCCAGTAGACTAGTAGAGCCGCAAAACCTCGCAATCCATCTAGGTATGCGGTGGGCCTGTTAAGTGACCGTTGCTTTTCATTCGTGTTGTCGCTATTTGTTCGCCTAGTAAGGAAGGAGGGTAGGAAGGGAACCATGTAAGAGGAGATCCCATGCCGAGAGCGTGTTGTATGGGCAAACTGTGGTTTCCACTGTCCATCCTCGAGGGCTCGCTGTGGGCTTGACTTCAACTGAGGTGAAGAGTTCTCGATTGAGGGGTGTAACATAGGCATCGAGTGGATTGAAGTTAGGAGAGTTGAATATTTGAAGAAAGATAGAAACCCAAAGTTCACCTTGGGGAAAAATACACTCTCAGTACAGCTCTGTAACATGTGAATCCACTCGCATAGTCCTAGCAGGTGAACCCCGGTCAGTGCCGAGGCCCATAAAAACCGGTCTAGACGATCCTACCCTCTTCCCCCACAACTCAAGGTCTGAGCGCAGACCTGGGGAGTCTAAGTCTAAATGGCGTTTTGAACTAAAATCCACAATTGAATGACCCTAGTCTCTACTATTGGCCCCATTACCCGAATGGCTGAAGGTGTTTCACTACTCTAAGAAGGATCCAATTAGTTAAGCTTCAATCCTTGACCATTTCCGTGCCAGTAACAGGTACTATTAGCAGGCTTAATGAATAACACATGTTAATTACGATGCTATGTACTGTATGTAATCAGGGAAATTAAGGCCCTGCCTTCCTGTATTAGCAATATTTCTCCCTTCTCGACTTGCTTGTCCCAGGTCACTGAAACAACTCACATCACAGGTCCAGTCATGCTGGAGAAGAATTTCGTGTTGCCCAGTCTCTTCCCGAAGAAGGCACGCAGATTCACACATGGCGGCCTGGTGGCTTTGTGTCTATTCATCTACTTTTGTGTCACCAGAACGCCGCGCGACTTTGACGAGAATCAATCACACTCTACTCAGCTGAGAAATGTTGGCGAACAATTTCCCAAAAAAATCTGGCAGATCTGGAAAGTGAATCCATTGGAATTCGACGGGCGTGAAATTGAGGTAGCGCGCAGCTGGATATCTAAAAACCCGGGCTATAGGTACGAGGTTCTGACCGACCAGAATGACCTCGACTATGTCGAAACAAACTTCGGAGCCCTTGGGCTGAATCGACCAGATATCGTTCAAACATACCGAGCCTTAACGGCTCCAATCATCAAGGCCGACCTACTTCGGTATCTTGTTTTGTACATAGAGGGAGGTGTCTATGCTGATATAGACGTGGAGGCATTGAGACCGGTGGAGCGATTCATCCCAAGCACCCACGATGAAAGCGAGATCAACATGGTCATTGGCATCGAAATCGATGAGCCATACTTCAGCGACCATCCTATACTAGGTCAAAAATCTCAATCCTTCTGTCAATGGACATTCATGTGCAAGCCTCGACAGCCCGTGATGATGCGACTAGTGGAGAATATCCTCCACTGGCTCAATCAGCTCTCCATTGAACAAGGGAGGCCAATCTCAGAGCTTCAGCTGGACTTTGATGATGTGATCACAGGCACCGGGCCTTCTGCCTTTACCGGTGCAATACTATCTGAAATGCGCCGTACAACGGGCAAGGATGTCACATGGAGTATGTTCCATGACATACCAGAGTCTAAAGTTGTCGGGGGATTTCTGGTTCTCACGGTTGAAGCGTTCGCCGCTGGGCAAGGTCATTCGGACTCGGGCAACCATAATTCCCGCACGGCGTTGGTCAAGCACCATTACCATGCATCCGCGTGGCCAAACCGTCATCCACGATTCTATCACCCGATCTTTGCAGAGGTCGAGAAGTGCAATTGGAATGTGGAATGTGTGAGGAAGTGGGACGAAGAAACCACTGCTTTTGCTGCTCTGCCTCAGGAAGAGCAGGACCGGCAGATTGCCACATTCCAGGCAATAGGGGAAGCATTAAGAAATATGGGACTACCACCTAACTAGGGAATGTTTTGGTTTTTGTTCTGGCAATGTGATTATGTGTTCTAGATATAAGCGGCGGCAGGTTTTTGGGTCCATCGCGCCAACCTATGTTCAAGCCCTTATAAGCATGAGGTTATTTCTCCATTTTGAAAGCGATAGTTTCATGAACTCGATCGAGTCGATATGTGCCCTACTTCAAAACACCTATAAAATCTACATCGCTCGTACATCCCGTGGAGAAAGCCTAGCTACATTACATTTATAAATTTAGAGATAGAAAAGAAAAAAGTTAGTATAGTACAGTAGTACCCGTATTAACGCTCCCTCCTTAATGACCCTATTCTAAGGGGGGTACGTAGTAGATAATGTGAGTATTATATGCATCCAATTATATACTACACACAAGTTAAAAAGTACCGATTCTTAATGTACATGTGAGAAGTCTAACTGATCAAGTCCTTGGCATCGTGGACATCTTCTATTTACCTCCTTCATCCCCCCGCTTGGGAGGACCCCAATCTATAGCAGCAATTATCTCATTATCTCCCTCCCAGTCACAAAATCTATCATCATCTGGATCTTTCCAGTAAAGCGACGAATCATTCTCATCTGCGCTGTTATCCACCGTCTTCCCATTTGGAATAGTAACAACAATGCCCTCGAGAATCTCCAAGGATCTTGCTTCCTTCTCGTGCATCAATCGGTCAAGTTGATCATCGACATCCAGATCAGATTCAAAATCAAAGCAATTGTACTCTGCTCCCTCTCCTCGTCCACTCACACGAAGAGATTCGAGGTTAGGCGGCAAATTTCCGGCGAGATTGAAGGCCTCAGCGCCAATCCGGCCATTAGTAAATCGGTTCTCGCCGAATCCAACGCCCCGCGCAAAAAAGCACAGAGTGTGGACGCCTAGGCTAAGTCGTTTGAGTTGCGAGAAGTCTTTCAACGAGATGTAAGATGGCGGAGTTTCCAGATCTTCCGTGGCCAGTTCGCGGAGCTCATCGGCGTAAAATTCTTCATAGTATTTCGGGTCCTCCTTGATACCCTCGTCCTCCCTCGGCCGAAACGTAGGATCATAGAACTCGCGCCGATTCGCATGGCTTTCTATGTCAAGATCTAGCTCTTCCAGAGTCCGTCGGTGGAACCAGAGAGATCTAAGTAATGGAGTTGTACTTAAGGTCATTGGTCCTCCATCCGGAATTTTGCGTCCGCCCACAGTAAACGCGAAACTCTTGAGTGTTTTAGGCGACTCAATAATTCGACAAAGGTCAGATTCCAGCAAGAAGGAGTGCGTAATGCTGATTTTGCTATAGTTAGCGCAGCGTGGCGGGAGAGGAAAGCCTGCCTCGTTATCCCATGTTGCTAACTTGAAAGTGACGGACTCAATAGCGGGCAGTTTTCGAACTAAATTCAAGCGATCGTAGTATGGCTCTTCCACATACTCCGTGCCCATATTTAGAGTATCATCTGGGTGGAAGTTGATTTCTCGTAGTTTTGGCAGTAGGTAACTAAGCCAGGTGCGTTAGAGGCCCGCTGTAGTAGTTCCATAAGCCTATTTTTAGCCCCATACGAGGGGAACATAGACAATGACTGAAGATTGGGGGAATTTGCAACTAGCAGCGTAATAAGCGTATCTTTGAACTTGACTGGTTCTGCGGTGTGCTCACTACTATTTCATACATAAGCTAACCAAATTATAGAAGCGCGAAAGAATGTAATATACCTGAAGTGGGTCGGATCCTGCAGAATGCTAGACAACATAGATTCCTGATCCTGAGTTTCTTGTATGCCGGCCTTCTCGATGGCCTGTTTGAGTCTCTTGATATCTTCTGGAGAGAATGGGCGTTGGGGGATAGGCTTGGAGAAGCGCGCCCACGGATACGTGTTCATATCACTTCCGTATATGGCTAGATGGTGTAAATAGCCTACAAGAGAGGGATTGGCCAAAATTTCGAGCAATATGTCCTGTCCGGCTTGGAGCTGGTCTGTGAACTTCTCTCCACGCTTTTCTCGGCCCAGCTGCAATTTATGATACTTCTGCCGATTGGACACCTCGCTCACGCTATGCAATCCACGATTTTGCCGCGATAGGGCCACAACATGATCCACGGCAGGAAGATTCTTGACGAGGTTGACCCGCGATCTCACAGTGTGGAACATGGCAAGGCTGAGATGGGTTGAAAGACACAGGGAGAAATGATAGGGGCGAAGGCTAGAGTACAGCAGTCTCCAGCCGCTAGTCACTAGTGTGCTACATCAGATTTTGCCTATAGTTTTATACATCTGAATACATCAACATCGCACCAACTCTTTACATAAATTGAAAATTTATGTCTAACCCTCGATAGTGAGATATTAATAGTTTGTACACCTTTTTCGCTGCCCAAAAGACTACTGAAAAAGACTACTGGAAAGACTACTAAAAAGGCCATATAAGCGACAGACTATTCTTATTCCATACTTGGAAGAATTCTCAATGCTTGAATTCTCAATGCTTGAATTCTCAATGCTTGGATTCTAAAAATGGGAAATCTGAAGGTGCAACAGACTGATATCAGATGACGTCAGATAGCTAACTGGAAGTATTGCTTTCTTAGAGTCAGCTTCTATTCCTATTATTGGTTCTATTTATTGATTTCAATATGACAGCTCGTGTCCTTAAAGCACCAAGATACCCGCAGTCAAATCTCCGGATATACCAGGATAACGGCTCTCTTCTTGCTGGTAAGTTACCATAGCATCATACCTAGGACCCAGTGTAACAACTAATACAACCTTGTTATAGCCATGGCAATCCCAGAGGACCCACAAGATCGATATCTGTCTGCTGAAATGCTGTGACGGTACTGTTTATTGATATTCCTCTTTCCAGAGGAGAAGGACTGGGGAATCTTCAAATTGCTGAAGGCCGGCACAGCAGGCAGTACGCTCCGGTCTAGCGGCCGGGCTTCAGTGGGCCCCGGTAACTACATTGTTCTAGATAAAGGTACATATGTTTGCTACGTCTAGCATAACTATATATAGAGTCTCCAATGCTGATATTGTATAGATCAAACCCCCATCACCGTTAACTTGACAACCAACTGTGCGCCACGCCGCATCAGAACCCATGACACCAGTACCCAACCCCCAGGACCATCTGGTAGAGTTGACATAGAAATTACAAGAAGCATAAAACGACAGGGCTAATTATTTCTAAAGCAAACTACACTCCGCAACAGTCTCCGCCAAAGAGACAGTTGCTGTGCAATTACCGGGCAGAATAGGTCAGGCACCTATGAAGAACCTTTCCTCGGCCTCGAGGCTACGCATGTATTCCCTGTGAGCATGCTAGGAGAATGGAGAAGAGGTGAATACCGGCGGTACATTACCGATACTCGCCCCGATAGCGAGATTGGAGAGACTCGTCTCTATTCTGCCCAGAATGGGCTCCTCCTTAGCTCAGACATTCACACTTGGTTTGATAATTTTCGACTAGGAGTGGATCCTGATGTGAGACACTCCCTATAGTAACATGTCATATTTCCCCGATATTTACTAATCGTGATAAAAAGTCTGACTACAAGATTATTGTATTCGGATCAGATCCTGCGAGAATGGGCGGTACTCGTCTCAAAGACTCGGCCCGAAGTGGAACCAACCGTGTGAGTGATGATCTCCTTCGTTGGCACCTGCGTATGTGTGTATATCGAAACATGAAGGCCAATGCCGAGCCAGAGACAATCTGGGACGAGGATCTTGGAGAAGATCCAATGGCCAGCATTCTCAAGCAGCCAGATGCAGCTGAACGAATGGAGATCGAGCTTTTTACACGTTTGGGAGGACTAATAGCGTGATACGGTCTTAGATAATGGAAATAGAACCGTATAAGATGGACAATAGATGAGAAGAAAATAGTCCTTGGATTCTATAGATCCTTGTGTTGAGAATAGATTGTAGAATGTACATAGGACGCCCAATTAATGTTGAACTTTTCCCCTTAAAAATGTGAGCCCGCTGTTGAATAAGTGCGAGGCCCATCCGCCAAAATTAACAATTGCTCGTTTCACATGCAAAAAAGCATTCCCATATCCCAATGACCCGCGTCAGGTTGAAAAAGCAGTCCGGTAATTAACCCCTAAAAACGCACCCATGTATTTTTCTTTTGTTATACGAAATGATGTTGAACTCGTGGAATCATGATTCAGATCCCTCTTTATTTTTTCCGTAATTCATACTTGGTCCTCATTGTCCCATTTAAACGGGGAGAGGGAAGGCGCTGGCCCACTGAGCAATCTCCTTGCGGAGGGCAAGGATCTCAGGGACGCTCTCGTCGGCAACCTTGGCCTTGAAGTCCTTGAGCTTGTTGGCCTCCTTGGGAAGCTCGCTCTGGATCTTCTTGCAGAGGGTGACGGACTGATCAATGTAGCGGGCAATGCGCTTGAAGTCATCGACACCCATACCACGGGAAGACATGGCGGGGGCACCAATGCGGATACCGCAAGGAGTGAGGGCCGACTTGTCACCGGGGATGGAGTTCTTGTTGCAGGCAATGTTGATCTGCTCAAGAACGGCCTCAACACGGGCACCATCAAGGCTGTGGGCGCGGAGGTCAACGAGAACCATGTGGCTGTCGGTGCCGTCAGAGACGAGCTTGTGGCCGAGAACCTTGAACTCCTCCTCGAGGGCCTTGGCGTTCTTGATGACCTGCTCCTGGTACTGCTTGAACTCAGGAGTATCGGCCTGCTTGAGAGCAACGGCGAGAGCAGTAATGGTGTGGTTGTGGGGACCACCCTGGTGGCCAGGGAAGACGGAGAAGTTGATAGGGTTCTCCAGGTCGTAAAGGACATCCTTGCCAGCCTTATCGGTGCTGCGGACACCCTTGCGGAAGAAGATCATGGCACCACGGGGGCCACGGAGAGACTTGTGAGTGGTGGTGGTGACCACATCGGCGTACTCGAAGGGAGAGGGAATGACACCAGCGGCGATCAGGCCAGAGATGTGAGCCATGTCGACGATGAGGTAGGCGCCAACCTTGTCGGCAATCTCGCGCATGCGCTTGTAGTCAATAAGACGGCAGTAGGCGGAGGTACCGGCAACCAAGCACTTGGGGCGGTACATCTCGGCGTTACGCTCGAGAGTATCATAGTCAATGATACCAGTCTCGAGGTTGACACGGTAAGGGAAGGTCTCGAAGTAGGTGGAAACGGCAGAGATCTTGCGGGAGGGGGTCTGGTAGCCGTGGCTCAAGTGACCACCGTGGGGGAGATCCAAACCCATCAAGCGGTCGTGGGGACGCATGAGAGCCTGGTAGACCTGGAGGTTGGCGGGGCTGCCAGAAAGGCACTGGACGTTGACGCCCCACTTGGCGGGGTCCAGGTTGAACGCCTTGAGAGCACGCTGCTGGCAGGTGATCTCAATGGCGTCGATGTGCTGGTTGCCACCGTAGTAACGAGCACCGGGGTAACCCTCGGAGTACTTGTTGCACATGGGCGAACCAAGGGCATCGAAGACAGCACGGGAAGTGAAGTTCTCCGAGGCAATCAGCACGATTGACTCACGCTGACGCTGAATTTCCTTCTCCTGTACGAGTAAAATAATTAGCAAAGCTGGATATTTTGTGGACACTGCACTCAATTGCAGGTCCCAATTTATAGTTTCGACGTACCATGATGGCAGCAATCTCCGGGTCGCTGGAAACGAGGGAGTTGTGCATTTGCTGTAGATGAGTCAATAAATCTATATGCTATAAATGAGGGGAGATTTGAATACTCACGTCCCGGTGGGACTCGGAAAGAGCGTAAGACATGATGAAATATGGTAATCTGTCTGGGATAAAACAGAGAAAAGTTGATGGGGGAGAAAGAGAGGTGAAGGGGGAAAAAAGAAAAGGAAGGTGGTGGGGGAGGGGGATCTTCCGTTTGCCTCAGGCGCCGAAATTTGAGCCAACGATATCGGAGACAGCTGACCAGATTAAGTTTTTAGGTTATAAAATTTGTAACTTGGGAAAATTGGGAAAAATTGGACCGGATTGGTTAAGAAGTTCATAAGAAACCCTAATAATGAATCCTTCGAGAGAAAAGAGAGAGGAAATAGAGTATCAATTGCTGGGTTTGCCACATGACTCATGACAATGGCGCCTTTGCTGTCTTGAAATGATCGCTAAAAACATATGGGTATTTCCTTCTTATAAACGCCAAATAAATCAATATGGAGAATCCTGCAGCATCTAGCTGACTTGAGAATTCCCATTGTAGACCGATATTCCCCCAAAGTTTCAAGCTTCATGCTTCCACGGTCCTCGTATTGTCCTGATGTAGCATTCCTGCTCGATTCCCAAAGTCAGAGATGACAGAGCGCAAACGTCTCACACGATCCTCCAGCTCTGCAATCTCTCTTTGTTGATCATCGACAGACCGGTGTACATCTGGTAGCCCTTCGACGACTGTACGAGCCTTCTGGATTCGGATCCTAACAGAGCTGGTTTCGGTAGGGAGGGTTTTCACATCGAGCGGCGGACGAGCACCTGAACCGAGGACTGATACTCCTGGCACAGCATGTGAAGATGAGTTGTTGCCATTGTGTCCGTCATTAGGGATGCTTGTAGGTGCTTGTTGGACCTGTGCCTGGGAAGCTCCTGGGTCCCCTGTTGTATCTCCGGGTGCGTCCGATGAACCGGGTTGCTGACCTTTTGAGAGTAAGCGAGAAAGAATCCCATGCAATGATGGGATTATCTCAAAGGTCTGTGGTGAAGGGAAAGGTACTGTTTGCGGTGGTGTTGGCGCGTCTTTAAAGGGTGTCTCAGGCACAGGGGATTTGAGGAGCGGGGTGTCCACTGGCGGAGATCGAGAAGCCATTGTCGGAAATGCTGATTAACAGGATCCCGAGGAAAGAGATTTGAAGGACGAGTAGATCCCGGCTGGGGTAAATTTTTAGGGAAGACTCGGAAGACACACCCCGTAGATCTGCCCCCGGGGCCGCAAATACATGCTTATCTCAGCAAATACGCTCCTGGCACCCGGTGACGGTGACGTCGGGGCCCATGCCCCTCCTTCACCGGCGACCTTTTTTTCTGCGTTAGGTGGTCTGATTCTCCTTTGACCTCTTCTCTCCTCTAAACATCTAAAGGTAAGCAGCTTTGTTTATTAAATTTCTCTTGGTTCAACAATTGATCAGTGTTCGTATAATTCTAGTGATCCAATCGCTATAACAAACCCCACTATGGCTTCGGTCGACCAAAAAGTTGCATTGAGTATGATCGACTACCACCAGGGTCCTCAAAAGATATACCGGCTAATATAAGCCTTATAGTTGTGATCGATGGCTGGGGTATTGCAGGCCCCAACTCCCCTCCTGAGGGAGATGCCATCGCCGCGGCCGATACCCCACACATGTCTGGCTTCGCCGAGCCCAACTCCAAGACCGCCCAGGGCTTCGCCGAGTTGGATGCCTCCTCACTCGCTGTTGGTCTGCCCGAGGGTCTGATGGGCAACAGTGAGGTCGGTCACCTGAACATTGGCGCTGGCCGTGTTGTCTGGCAGGATAGTGTTCGCATTGACCAGACCCTCAAGAAGGGCGAGATGGGCAAGGTGCCCAGCATTGTCAAGTCTTTCACCCGTGCAAAGGAGGGTAATGGACGTCTGCACCTTCTGGGCTTGGTCTCGGATGGTGGCGTTCACTCCAACATCACTCACTTGTTCGCCTTGCTCGAGGCCGCCAAGGACATGCAGATTCCCGAAGTCTTTATCCACTTCTTCGCCGATGGACGTGATACCGACCCTAAGAGCGCCGACAAGTACATGCAGCAGCTGCTTGAACGGATCCAGGAGATTGGCCTCGGCGCCATTGCCACTGTCGTTGGCCGCTACTACATCATGGACCGCGACAAGCGTTGGGAGCGTGTTGAGATTGGCCTCAAGGGTCTGGTCACTGGCGAGGGCGAGGATAGCTCCGACCCGCTACAGACTATCCGCGAACGCTACGAGAAGGGCGAGAACGATGAGTTCCTGAAGCCCATCATTGTTGGCGGCAAGGAGCGCCGTGTCCAGGGTTCGTGTGGCTCGATCCCCGAAAAGGCAAGGTCGTAGCAGCTAATTGAACCTGTACAGATAACGATACCCTCTTCTTCTTCAACTACCGCTCGGATCGTGTCCGTGAAATCACCCAGCTGCTGGGCGACCATGACCGTTCCCCGCGTCCCGACTTCCCCTACCCCAAGAACATCGACCTCACCACTATGACCCAGTACAAGACTGACTACAACTTTAATGTTGCTTTCCCCCTCAACACATGGGTAATGTGTTGGCCGAATGGCTCGCCAAGAAGAACCTCCAGCAGTGCCACATTGCTGAGACTGAGAAATACGCTCACGTCACTTTCTTCTTTAACGGTGGTATCGAGAAGGATTTCCCCGGCGAAGTGCGCGATATGATCCCTTCGCCCCGAGTTGCTACCTACGATCTTGACCCAAAGATGAGTGCCGCTGCTGTCGGCTCCAAGGTGGCTGATCGTCTTGGTGAACACAAGTTCGACTTTGTCATGAACAACTTCGCCCCTCCCGACATGGTTGGCCACACTGGAGTGTACAAGGCCGCCATTGAGGGTGTTGCTGCCACTGACAAGGCCATTGGCGAGATCTACGAGGCTTGCAAGAAGAACAACTACGTGCTGTTCATCACCGCCGATCACGGGTAAGTTATTCTGCGAAACAGGAGCACCTTCCATCAAGAGAATTTCTAGTTAACCCACATTCACAGAAACGCCGAGGAGATGCTCAACGAGAAGGGCACCCCCAAGACTTCCCACACCCTTAACAAGGTTCCCTTCGTTATGGCCAACGCCCCTCAGGGCTGGAGCCTCAAGAAGGATGGTGTCTTGGGTGATGTTGCGCCTACCGTTCTCGCTGCCATGGGCGTCGAGCAGCCTGAAGAGATGACCGGTACCAACCTGCTGGTCAAGTCCTAGATAAAGTTTCCTCGTACATAAATGTTTGATTATGAATCAATGAATAGAATTTTGTCAATACACATAATCTTTCTTTTGATATACCTTTTTTTTATTGGAGTTTTAGAATCTTCTAACCGAGTGTATCAACAAAATATCGAAAGCATAAAGCTAGAAAGACTGGAGCTGGAACAGTGAACTACAAAAAATATATAATATATATGTAAGTAGACTTCACCATACACCTATATATTGATTAGGTTCGTGTCAGAATGATTGATACTACCAGAGAATTTCATGTCTAAAGACAAATCGATCACTTTCGACAGCATTGTATTAAAAATTCGAGGGTATATCTTTAAATTGATCCATGCGCTGTTCTGGTGTCGGGCACCTCCACAGATCATACATTTACAAGGTATCCCAATACAATTGGGAATTGGTCCTCAATGCCCAAGCATTCCTTGAGATATTGTACCTCCAATGTAGTGTTCACAGTTGCATAGGGCATGCACCGAATCACAGTGAACCGGTTGAGGGTTGGTCCCATCCGGCGACAGCCTCGTAGCTCGCCACATATTTCATCTCCGGGTGATATATCCTTCTTCGCCTGCGGTTTCTTGGGGTTTTTGACCTTAAGCGGAGGCCGATGCAGCAGCACCCTGCTGTTGAGCCTGGCTTTGGAGTTGGATGAGCTGGGTGAGGGGTTAGAATATGCATATGGTGGGGGGTGGACTGTAGTTGGATGAGGGCGGTTTACCTCTGAGCGCATCTTTTCGCTCTTTTCTTGTGTCGCATCAATCTCGCCTTCAATTCGATTGCTGTAGGTTCTCAGTCAGCATACATTTTCGTTGGTTCACAGTGGCCAAGGCAGTAGCACTGACATCTCCTTCTCAATGAACTCCAACCGACTGTTGACGGCCATCGTAGCTTCGGTCTTATCCTGCTTCAGCAACACCGGGCCAACGAGCTTGTAAATGTTGGATTCATCGTCGAGCTGGGCGAACTCGGCCTGCACGCCTTCGTTCTCTTGCTGCTGCGATTCGAGTTTCTGGCGGGCGTCGACCAGAACATCAAGCTCTGGAGGCGGGGGAAAGGTCAGTAGCTATTGCTGTCATCAATTAGAGATATAGCCATACCGGTCTGCAGTCCCTGGAACTCTTCCGAGAGTGCTTGGAGCTGTTTCTGGGCGTCCATGGTGAACTTGGAGGTGAAGTGGGAGGAGGGAAAATCAATGGCTCCCGCCCGTAAACAACTTCCACTCTCACTTTCCCCTCCAATTCCCATCAACCCTCGGTTCTAGACCTGTTTTGCACTTCTTCTTTTCTTCTACTTTAAAGAAGCTTCAAGTTGTCTCTTCTAGCAGGTCGCTGCCTATCCCTCCAGCCTTGGCCCATTGCCTGACCCTTGCTCCCCTCTCCCCGCTTTATCACATCTCCCTCCGCGGTCGACTCGCTACCTGTACCCCAGACAGCACACACGTTGCCCATCATGAGCAATACGGATTTCCTGGGGCGGGCGATCGATACGGTCAAGAAGGCGATCGAGAATGACAACGATGGCGAGTACGAAAAGGCTTATCAGATGTACTACTCCGCACTGGAGTTGTTCATGCTGGCCTTGAAATGGGAGAAGAACCCGAAATCGAAGGAGATGATCCGCTCAAAGGCCGGCGAGTATATGGATCGCGCAGAGAAGCTTAAGAATCACCTGGCGGAGGACAAAAAAAACCAAGCGCGGTTGGCGCAAATGGAAAGGTGGCGCAAGGCAGTGGGAAGGGAGGGTATGTACTCGACTTCTGTTCTAGCACTCCCCTATATGTGGTAGACATTGTTAGCGATTAAGCTATTGTCCTGCGTTATCCCCGCTAACAACACTGGATCGTACAGGAAGGAAGATGACGATAACGGCGAAGATGCGGAAGCGAAAAAGCTTCGATCAGCGCTTCAGGGCGCTATTCTGTCGGACAAGCCGAACGTGAAGTGGGAGGATGTTGCTGGCCTTGAGAACGCAAAGGAAGCATTGAAGGAAGCAGTCATTCTTCCCATCAAGTTCCCCCATTTGTTCACTGGCAAGCGCCAACCTTGGAAGGGTATCTTGCTCTACGGTCCTCCGGGTACGGGAAAATCTTATCTTGCCAAAGCCGTGGCAACAGAGGCAAACAGCACATTCTTCAGTGTCAGCAGTAGTGACCTAGTCTCGAAGTGGATGGGTGAGAGTGAAAGGTAGGGCAACATTTTTACCTACGGGAGCTTCGAGCGTTGCGTGCTAATTCGCGTCTAGACTTGTTAAGCAGTTGTTTAACATGGCTCGTGAGAATAAGCCTGCGATTATCTTCATCGATGAGGTTGATGCTCTGTGTGGACCCCGTGGCGAAGGAGAGTCCGAGGCTTCACGGCGTATCAAAACCGAATTACTTGTACAGATGGACGGTGTCGGTAAAGACTCGAAGGGTGTTTTGATTCTGGGCGCAACCAATATTCCCTGGCAACTGGACGCTGCTATTCGACGACGATTCCAGCGAAGAGTACACATCAGTCTTCCCGGTCTCAATGCACGAATTAAGATGTTCATGCTAGCCGTGGGCTCGACGCCGTGTCAAATGACCCAGGCCGACTATCGCCAATTGGCCGAGCTGAGCGAGGGCTACTCCGGTAGCGATATTAGTATTGCCGTGCAAGATGCACTAATGCAGCCAATCCGCAAGATTCAAGGAGCAACACATTATAAGAAGGTATGTATACTCTGTCCTTACCGTTCCAACTCACAGCGACTGACCCGGCTCTGTTACAGGTACTCGTAGATGACGTAGAGAAAGTCACGCCTTGCTCACCAGGCGATGCGGGCGCAGTGGAAATGAGCTGGCTCGACATCGATGCAGATAAGCTTCTGGAGCCACCTCTCACTCTGAAGGATTTCATCAAGGCAGTTAAGAACTCTCGGCCAACCGTTAGCGGAGAGGATCTCACGAGGAACGCTGAATGGACCCAGGAATTCGGCAGTGAAGGCGCCTGATCGTATCTTCGCAAATGGTCGATATTTATATCGTTCTTCCCATCATGGCCTCCGAAATTTGAATCTTTCTACCTCAGTTGATCGACAGCATAAAATCCTGGCTCCTTGGCTCGTCCAGAGAGGACGAAAGCTGAATATCTCGTGCCCTTGCCCATAGTCTCCATTTTCTCATGTTTTATCTGTGTCCATGTCAATGCTTGCTTCATTTCGGATTCCTGTGTTTTTGGTGGGTGTCTCCGAATAGTTTGGTGTTTAGAAGCGTTTCTCAATTACTTTTCGCAATGGCGAGGCGTTGGCTGAGCAAATATTTCATGTGTCTATCCCTGCGAGTAGCATACATACTGCTTTGAAGACTACAAACCTGCAAGGTTCTTTCGCCATTGCTTTTACGTGTAATTAATGCAAATCAAGGCTCAGTTTCTTTACTGACAGATGCTACATAAATGAATAATGGCTCTTGAATCATCAAATTCCTCGATGAGATGACAGTATGCACAAATGATTCGAATAAACCAATAAAGAATAAACGGAGACACAGAAACACAAAACAAGTCAAAAAAAGAGCAGTATACTTGCAAGACATGTCGGGGGAATCTCTCATGACAGAAGGTTGACGCTGGAAGAACAAGAGACAAAATCAGAACGAATGACATAAACACAGAATCGATCTCTAGCGCTACTGCCCAAGCAAGCTCTTGTTCGAGCTATCACGGCGCTTGAGCATCTCAGTCTTAGCACGCTTCAATCCCTCGCCTAGTTTCTTAGTCCGCTTCCAATCACTGCTCATCTTTTGCATGCGAACAGCGGCCCTCACTAGAGATATGGCGGATTTTAGTTTATGGCGTGGAGTGCGGACAGGAGCTCGGTCACGGGCGTGCACGCCCATCTCGGAAATCATGCGGAGATCAGCATCGTTGCTGTTGGTAATTTGTTAGCTATATTGCAAATAGTATGCGATAGAAATGGGAGTACGAACCATGCAACTCGGACGCGTTCACCAAGTTCCATCAAGCCCTTGCTCCAGGCAAGATCACGGCGGAACTTTTCTTCACGTTGTAGGCGAGCGCGGAGCCAGATGATTTCCTTGCCCAGGCCTCGGATCTCTTTTTCATGTTTGGTCTTGCTGGTGGATTTGGAAAGGGAAGTTTTCTCGAGGATTTCGTCGTGGCGTCTTTGTAATAGATCGAGATTTTTGGTTGCTGCCTCAGCCTCGCGCTTGTGAGCATCTCGTTCTTCGCGAATCCGGCGCACATGTGTCTTCAATTCGCTAAGGCGTGCTTCCCGCTCGGAAAGTTTCAGGGCTAATGATTCAGCTTCGAGGGTGGAGGACCTAAGGAGCTCATGGAAGTCCTTCTGGTCCTCTTCTTTCATTGCAGCACGTTCCAGCTCTCGGTTCTTCGTGTTGACCTTCTGCAGGGATCGGTGTGCTTCAGCCACTTGTTTTCGTAGACTGCGTAGCTCTTCATGAAGCTTGTTTGATGGAGAATTGTGTGGGGAGTGTGACTCGAACTTGTTCATCATCGCATCATGAAGATCCTTTTCCAATTCTTCAACTCGTGACTTGTAGGTTTGCGCAGAAGTCTTCTGCTTGGATTCACGCTGGAGGAGAATCTTTTCGCGTTTCCTGGCCTCCTCTAGGCTGTGCCGAAGTAAAGAGAGGTCCCCATGTGCACCAGATTGTTCATACTCCACAACAGGCTGCTGCTCAAGAAGAGCTTCCAGTTCTTGGGCGCGACGCTCCAGACGCTGTACCTTCGTCTTGGCCGAAGTAAGTTCTCGATCACGGTTACCCGAGCCAGCAAGCAACTTGTCCTGAAGGCGATCGATTTCAGCCGAAAGACGACCCTCCTCTGATACAAATCGCTCACTTTCTGAGACGAGCTGGTCCTCAAGGGACGACTTGGCGTCTCGCAGAACTTGGAGTTCATTTTCAAGTCTTGTTACAGTCTTGCGTAGTTCAAGCTTGTCGCGGTCAAACCGGGAGGTGTCATCTGCGTTCTGGACTC